GGCTTTAGTTTCAAGAGGAGTGCTAATCTCCATACTATAGATGGTAACTCTGAAAAAGGTCAAAATCCCGCCATATCTAGATGCGCTGATCAATAGCCCGAAAGTAGTTTATGTAAATGGCCGTGGATATCAAAATAATTCCTCTTTAATATGAAATTCAAGTAGTCGTTGGTTTCCCCTTGTAATATTATTCAAATTTTGACCATGAGCTAAAATTTTTATCTGACCTTTGACAAATATGCGTACTAATATATCCCATTGTGTGTAAAAAAAAAGTAATTTATAAATTACCGCTTGCTAATATGTATAGATGGGCTAATCCTAAAATAAAATAAAAGCCGGCAGTATTCATAAAAATTTGAGAAATAAGCGCCCTCTAGTTGATGTCTTTGTTATCACTAGAAATTACAGTATTAGCTTTGATAAATTGCAGCTCATCATATGTAAAACAAAACAAAAATAGATACTTGGTACACGTCGCGACATCTGGCGTTCCAATAGGTACTAAATATCCGACCGCTTACATTACTGCTTGGCGGCAGATATAGGTGAGGTGACTTGCCTGGGCGAAATCTTTCACAAGGAGCTCTGCTGCTATTAATACTAATATTGCGCTATTCCAGCTTTTATATAGTCTGTCTTTTTTGATGATGGAGTAAAATGACAGTTCGTTGTGCAAAAGTGTGGCAAGCAGCTAGTGATTGAAGTCGATAAATATTTAAGTATACATTTATGTATTTATTGAAGTAACAATGTTCCAAGTCCGTTTTTAAACTTTCAACTGAATAGAGCAATACAAGTTTGCCAATAACCAATGCCAGTATAACAAATCCAAAATAATTATCAACTTACCTTCATTGATAGAGTATATTTTCCCCTTCTCAGGTATCCTCATATTGGGGTCAGTCAGTATGAACTCTCCTATGCTGGGGTCGTACATAAAACCGTTGACCCCTTTCCCTTTGCCAATGGACAGGACCATCATGGTAGCGGAGCCGTACAGGGCGTAACCAGCGGCTACCAGTTCGTTACCTGGTTTTAACGCATCGGATTCATTTGGTTCACCAGCGGAAGATTTTCTGAAAGGGAAATTATGGGTTACTTTGAGTGTTTAAAACAGAAAGTTTATATCATATACTGTAGCACACATTATTGTATCTAAGTACAATATTATATTACATTTTTATTGAATTGATATTCAATGATTTTTTGTGAAATTACTCCACTAGTTTGTTATAATTATTAATACAAAGATCGAATACTCAGAAAAAATTACAATACAATATTATATAAATTTTTATAAAAATATTATAAAATTATTATAAAAATATTATATAAATTATAATACAATATTATACTTAATTAGCTTACTTGTAAATAGAGAAGATAGAGCCTACTGAGACGAGGCAGTCGATGTTTGAAGAGCCGTCAAGAGGATCGAAGCAGACCACGTACTTGCCGCTTTTTTCTTTTTCCACCTGAAAAATTGAATATCTAAGACATGCGGAGCCTTAATGTTTCATATACATATTGTCACTCAAAATTTCGAGCCTATACCTCGTATATCCAAACAATAATTTTTAGGTCGAGAGAGATGAGAACTTTTTAGCAATGTGGGTAAAAACCTAAAATTCTGTTCAGGCGGTATCAACGATAGGCGGGGGTTTGGTTCAGTTGAAAATAAATACCTACGTAACTGTTTGTCATATCTTGATTATGAAATAACGCTTTATTTCTCTTAAATGTGCTTGGAAGTTGACCTCTTGCAGATAACGAACTGGGACGTTTAATGGAAAGTATTAATAATGTGATAAGGCCATACTCGTGGTCGATGGACGACTAGTTATAAAAATATTCGATAGACTAGATATTCGATCGATGTGAACGACGTGTTTTCTCCGAATTATTTTAACTTTTCATTGGTGCTGGCTGTAATTATTCCAGTCGGCGAGTTTAAAGAATGAGTCCGAAAGATAGGCAGTAGTATTCATAATATGTTATCACAAATGTTCATTTTTAATGTGGCCTATGCACATACAATATTATATTATTGTTGGCGGATTACTGCACCTGTATGACGGTAGGGTTCTCTTCGGATACCAGGAGACAGGTGGTGAAGGAAGACTTGAGCATATTAATGAACAAGTCGTTGGACAACACGTCCAACTTCTTCACTTGCTCGCCTTGCACGTTCGTTTCGCCGGATATGCCGTGGCTACAAGACAGAAGAATGTTTCTTATGAAATTCTTAGTATTGAGAAAAATAATTCGGCGAGATGTTTGCGAGTTCCTTTGAATTAGCCCTTGCAGCAGTAAGTACAGTATCCTCTGTGAAGCACACGTGTTTTACTTACTTCATTAATTTAATTACTTGTTGTTGTTTTAAAAACAGATGCATCAGATTATTTAAACAACCTTAAATTTAATAAAGACCCGAGGGCTACTGTGCAGTTAGGAGACATCAAATAAATTTACTTGAAGCTGTTCGGGGTATTAATGCTTGGAAACGTTACGTATTTATGACTTCCTTTCCAGTTGTCATTACCTGTTAATATATGAAATCAGTCACCGGAAAGTGCACAAACCCGGATACATATCCTAGTTCACCACTATACGGGACTTAACACCGGACATAATAAAAATCTGTTCTCACTTCTTAAAGTATATTGAGAAAGAAAAATGCCTTCAATTGGAACATCGCCAAATCAACCATTAAAATAATTGCTCCTCATAATAAATTTTAGGCGCTATTTGTCAAAATGAGTCTTTATGCATTAAAATTATATGGGACCACTGGTATTCTCTTTTAAACAAAAAAGACACATCAAAGTCGGTTCACAAATGCCGGACGGAGTTATCACGTAACATACATACAAAAAAACATACAGTCGAGTTGTGAACCTCCTCCTTTATTGAAGTCGGTTAAAAATTAGAGGAACTACCTACAACACAAATCGCCACAATCAGAACAATCTAAATAATTTCCTTTACTTAATAATTAATACATTCATAAATAAAGGTACGTGAAATAAGTAGTAGTACGTATATACGTAGACTTTCTTCCTTCTAAAATTTCTAATTAGTGCGGTGTAGGAAAGAACCAACTTTAACCTCTTGTTGTATGTATTTTTTATTTTTTTGCTTTTTGTGTGTTTTGTCTCAAAGTGCACCGAAGTCTTCTCAAACAAAAAACAAAATCTAATAACAATGTATTTATACCTATTAATGTAATATAATGTATATTAAATTGTATTATTTTATGTTATGAACTATAACAAAAAACATTCACCATACATACTATACTACACAAATATTTTCGCCGAAATAAGACCCAAATGCAATAATTTGGCATTACTAGTTCTTGATATTGAGCCCTCGCATCGTCAAATGACAAGCAGGCAAGATGGCGTGACGAGAACTTGTTATTTACATAAAAAATAATTATCATGCCACTGTTTCATTCTGCCTCTTGTTTCACTGTACGTATTACCTCAGACCTCAGACGACAAAATTTTATACACAAAATACACAAACTAAATAAACCGTTTAATGTTACTTAGTTAAATCAAAGATAAAAATACTAACAGTTTAGCGATGCCGGCTTTTCTCACAGCGGACTGTATAGCTTTTACAGCAGTTTGTATGGAGTTAAGCAGCTGTGTGAGGTCTCCAGTGGCTGTTGGGGCCGTTCGCTGCTGGGCCAGCACCCATCGGGTCAGGGTCATAGCGTTCACGTCGAATGCGGGGCCTTGTTGGGACATTTTGAATGAATATACAGCAAGCGCGGACGACTGACGCGACGATACTGACCAAACCAAGGTTACGAACTAGATAATTTCATGTATAAGCTTGTCGCAAACGTGTTTTTGTAAATATTAGTCGATATGGAGGCGGTAATCAGAATGTGATAGCTGCTTTTCTTGATATGCCGGTTGATATCTCAGTAAAAGTTTTAAATTCTGAAATTCGTAGAAGGTTGCAATAGTTTTGATAGAGATACGTATTATCTAACGTGCATATCTTCGAGGATACTGCAATTACGCGTACCTAACAAGCATTCATACGCTGGGTCACATATACAATAAAACGATATACTTATAACAAGAAGGAAGTAGAAGAGGAAATAGCTCGACAAGTTATATCGAGCTCTTAAAATGAACAGTATAATATTGGGCCAAATAATTGGTCCTTAGTTTTATTAGCTTAAGTAGGTAAATCGTTATCAATAATAATTTACAGACAAAAACGGCTGTTTTGTTCGTCTTGAAAATGATGCAATTTTAGAATAATAACGCATAGAAACCTAGCCCGCACACGTTAAGTGAGGCAAATTGTAGGACGCCCTATGGGCTTACACGAGCGAGCGGGCTGTCAGTGCTCAAGGTCAAGTTGCACCGCGAGGAGCTCAAAATTTTTTGCTAAAAATGACGAATTGTGCGGTAATTGGGTTTAAAAATAGATCAGACAAATATAAAATAGACACTAACATCACATTCCACAAGGAAATAACGCGTTTCAACTTGTATTTTTATATAAATATTCACTAAAACAGAAAATTAATTTCGTTGCAACAAGATACGAAAATGTTGCAAAGTAACGGGTTTTTTCTCCCCATTTTGCTATTCTGTTTCAAAATAATTATATTACGTAATTTTTTCAGAATAGGCAATATCGCAACGGTTGCAAAATTTCTACAAATGTACACCGCCGCAACAACATTGTAGGGAATTTACGTTAGCTATTTTTACGAAATATATTTAGTATTTGCCTTCATTAGTTTCATGTGAAAAATCATTATTCTTGTTCATCATACACTCATTTAAAAAAATTGTCTTGCCCAGGCTTAAAAGTTCTTAATTAAAATTATTTCAGGAAACTAACTCTGACTAAAAAGTCATCGTCAGTTCTCCAAAATCGTGTATAAATAACTTTCAGGTTCAGGTTCTTAATTGTTATCATGTACTTTTCATGTAAACATACCCACAGATAATATCAGGCTATTTATATATTCAAATTCGATAGTCTCACTTAAACTCGCTTGTAGGTTTTTGTTCATATATGAGTTAAATAAAAATTGAGTAGTATTTAA